TTTCTCTAAGTGGGTGTATTTTAAAATAGAAAAAAAAAATACACACTTACAGACACAGGGTGGTGATAGTTAAGAGTATTCTACCAAACCTTTATAACATTTAAACAGCTAACAGGTAGCATCATACTGTGGATGGCTGGCCAGCTTACTTATGTTAAGTATTTAGGCTTGATAGATTCAATGTACATGATACACAAACGTTACAACAACATTTAAATGTTTTTGTTGTTGTTTTCAAGCTAAAGCAAGTTTTGGCAAGTTTGGTAGTTTGTTTTGTTTTGAATATTTTCTTTAGATTTCACCCTACCCCAATCATTTCAGGTATATTTACTAGATGCATACATCTATTGAAAGCAAAAATAGCAATGTTAGATTATATGTCTCTAGGCCCAATATAACATGAAACAAAATCATGGACGGTATGGTACAAATCCCTGCTCTCTCAATTCTAATCAATTTAGTTGTTCATACCCTGAAAAACATTGAGAAACATTGAGAAAAACAACACAACTTAATTGTATACAGAATATTGAAATGTGTGCATTTTCACTTCAGGGATGTGTAAATGTTATAACTTATCTGTATTCACTAGCATCAATTTATGAAATCAGTGATGTGATAAAAAAAGTACATAAAATAAATATTAATGTGTTCCAGTGATCTGTGTTGAACATTACAGACGTTAAACACATACACATTTTTGACATTTTATTAAGTATAAATTGCTGAATTTGAGTATCTTGTGAAAAATAGCGTCAAATACAGGGCAGAAATCCCGGGTAAAGCAGTGAAGAGCTGTGCCTCATATCTGACTGTGTGATCCAATACAAACTGGTTTACATGACGCGTGCCCATTTCTGTTCCTCAGCATAGAAATATTTGTTATACAGCATGACTCTCCACAGTCTGTGTAATGTCTTTAAAGTGTGTGAGAATTGTTTCTGCTGATTGTAAAATAAATTGCAGAAAAAAGTCAGCAGGCGATGCAGGCAGTAGTCTCACTTCAAGAGGACGTACGTGAACTGACAGGTGCTTTCTAGCTGCATTGCTGGCTTCAGTTTTTGTTTTTTAAAATTAAAATGGGAGTAAGTAGAAAAAACAAAACAAATATTTGATAAGTACATTTTTGGCCTAAAAGTTTTTTTTCTTATCATTTTGATAGACAACCTTGGATTGACCTCTCCTTGAATCGCAACCTTAACGTGGTGGAGGGGTTTGAGTATCCGAATGAACCTAGGAGCTATGTTGTCGGGGGCTTAACGCCCCTGGTAGGGTCTCCCAAGGCAAACAGGTCCTAGGCGAC